CTCTCTCTCTCTCTCTCTCTCTCTCTCTCAATCTTCTTCTTCGTCGTGATCTTCTCTGCACGTGCGCGGCGGCTTCTCCAACCTCAGGTCCGCTATGGCGGACTGTACCTCTCGGCTACCACCTCCGCTATGGCGCTTCAGGCCCTGCACACGACAGCGCGCATGGAATAGCGGGTACCGGCTCCGATACCAATGCAATCAGACTCGTCCCATTCACACTTCTCATGCATGTAAACAGCATCGCAGCAAACTGGCGACATGCTCCCACACAGAACTCAGAGATATGGCATCCAGATAAGAGTTCACTTTCACTGGCTATGGCGACTCAGCGCCCAACATCTCACTGTTCACACACACCGGATCACCCTGGATATCCCACACACGACACGCTGAACACTCACACAACACACACACACTTCACTCTAACTACATCTATGGCAGCGATGGCTGCCTCTACCCTATCGCTATGGCTGCACTTCGTCTCTCTTGCCCACTTCGACTTCGGGCTGCTGCAGACCTCCTTGCACAAGCCGCTGGGACAGCGCTTCCGCATGGCTTCCGCGGGAATGAATGAATGGCTGTGCACGGCCTCTTGATTTATACTTCTGTTACTCGTCGGTCTGCCCTTTTTCCCTGGCCCACGGTGCACACAGTCCCAGGCGGTACTTGCTTGACTGGACCGGACTGACTGGACTGGGACTGCTGACTCTGCGCGGTGGACTTCCACCACTTGCCCACTTGCCTCTGCCTAAACGTGGGCAACCTCGAAAGGCCACCACTGGGCCCTTCTAGAAGGCCGTGGACTTGGACTTTCGGTCCTGTCGCAGCTACGACCTTGACTCTTCAGGACTGGACTAGCTACAACGTTGACTCTTCGAGAAGCCTACAGCTACGACTTCTAGACCTGGCTGGACTCCTACTGGACAGGTCTACAGATCGAACCTTGACGGCCTACGGAACCTACGACGACCTACCAACTGCTACTAAACACACAGGTCGCGGGTTCAATTCTCGGGGGCTACACAGATACTGTACACAGGTAAGGTAATGGCGAGGGATCAAACCCTGGGATCTGCGTCAGCTACTGCTAACTGGTGAATACCGTTTCATCCGAACAGACCCTAGACCCGGGCTACTTGGACTGGTACCGGCCTACCTCTAGCCTACCGCTAAAAAAATGCCAACTTTTTGTCTTCTTCTGCTCAGCCTCCAGTACCCGACACTTGTACCACTACTTCAGTGGTACCGGCCTACCTGCTACTTGAGTGTTTTTCCCCTCTGCTCTAAGTGTCGCGGGCCTACCCCCGCTACTCGAGTGTTTTCCCGCCTGCAACCCTCAAAGTCACGGCCACAGGTAAGTACCGGCCCTGCGGGGCCTTTCAACCAACAAGTACCCTTGCGGGTCACACACACACTCAGCCGACAAGCACTCAGACAGGCATGCAAACCAGCAGGCACGCACACACACACACATACATGGGAATCACAGCAGAATGCGGGAATCTCAGCAAGGCATTCATTCCAGCGGCAAATCCCAGAAATCAGCAGTGTTCTCAGTCTGTGTTTTGGCGGGTCATTACAAAGAAGAAAAAAAGTGAACTGGGTGTGCCCCTCGACACTATTTTTAGGGGATTTTGGGGATTATGCGGATTTGGTACCGCCGTGTGAGTGCGCCCTCAGTGTGAATCTTCACGTGGACTACCATTGTGCATGTTTGTGGAGTGTGAATCTGAGTGGATCATTGCATCTGTATTATTAGCCAGGAAAAAAAATGAACTACGGTCAGAAGTGGTTGTTTGCTATGTGCAGTATACAAGGTAGATGCACATACACACAACCAAAAAACAAAAGAAAAAGAAAACAATGGGGGGGGCGCTGTTGAGCGCAACCCCAAATTTTGCTTTTTCTTGTCAACTCCTATTTTAATTACAGGAGGGGCGGGGTGTTCCACTATAACCCGCCCCTCCCTTTTTCGACCCCTTACGCATTGAATGCAAGCCATGCGCTGCATGGGCGCGACTTATGCACTCTGGATGCACTTCAAGTATGGTGTGACTCTGTGAGATGATTTCAACGTTTTTTTTTTCTTTTCGGTTTAATAAATTAATAACGAATTTCGGTGTGACCATCAGCCAAAAGTTGTTTGACTTGTTTTCCTGCATGACATAGTTTTTTTTCGGATTTGCTTTTTTTTCCTAGGCTACCAGTGTCCCAGGACCACTTGCCCGGCCGGGCCAAAAAAAATAAAAAAATAGAAAAACAAATAAATTCAAAAAATAATAAAAAATATAATATATATATATTTTTTTAATTTGGTAAAGAATTTCGATGTGACCCTGTGGCAAAAGTTGTTCTGACTTGTTCAGTTTATTTTTCTGCATAACATAGTTTTTTTTCAGATTCTTTTTTTTTTCTTGCCCCGGCAAACAAGGTGACCCGGGCGGCACGGCCAGTAACCTAGGGTTTTTTTTTTTTTTTTTTTTTTTTTGCACTGGGGTTGTCCGGGACCTTGTCCAGACTTTGCCCAGCCGGGCCACCCGGGCCATCCATAGGCAGCCACAGAGACCCAGCTGGTAGCCTAGGTTCTAACTGAAGATGGTACTGCACATTGACAGAAGAAAAGAACTGGTTTTGATGGCCCACGTCCCAGATCAAAATCTGTTTACCTTACTGGATTCGAGCCCAACGCTGTTACATTTGCCAATAGAATCATAAAACATAGTAAGGAATAAGAAAGCTTTCCACAGCTTTTCTGAGCCAGATTGAATGAGGGAGCACCCATTCTACCGTCTTTACCCAAATACAACGCCCTGTCATTATATCTGTATAGGCGCAACTTTTGGGCCAGATGCAGCGATAATGACCGGGCGTTCTATTCGGGTGAAGACGGTAGTCAGAAGTCCACCTCACTTTCTGCAGACAAGAGGAGCTAGAGGGAAGAAATCCTTGTTTCGAACCTTGACCCCTTCATCTTGGATTTCTTCCCTCCTCCTCCCCGTCCCCCACCCCCCTCACTTTATTTTTTTCAGTAAAAAAAAACTTGTGAACCTATGCTTGCCAAGTCCTTGAACTTCATACAGAAACTATGACAATCCTGTAACGTATCCTCCTTTTTCCACTTTTTCTTTTCGTTTCAACTTTTTATTTTCTACCAGCCTTTTTCGTAGTAATTTCAAGGTATGCTTGCGGAGCGTCGAACTTTCATATAAGTACTAGCACACCCGCATAAGATATCCTCAGTTTAGAACTTTTACTTTCCTCTTTAAAATAATGCATAATTATGCTAGCCTGGCCTAGCCATTCATTTTGTGGTACACGGCCAACCATTCCTGTTTCAAGGGGTGATGGCACTGATGACCCTTCACGAGTGGTCGCAATCACTCGATCTTTGGATCACTGGATCAACATTATTTGTTGCGTATCACTCATCCTGGCTCATGGAGACAGCATGACAATAGAGTATGTGAAACTTAACTCACATCAAGCTCAATGAGGACATCTGGTTTGTTTGGATTCATGTCCCGGCGA